TAAAATAAATCATAGACGATAAATCTATGCTTGGAGTCTTCGAATTCTTCGTCTTCGTTATTGCTTCTTTGCTCTTGAAATTGCGTAAAAAGATTCTTCAATTGCGTGCTTGAATTAGTCTTATATAGGGTGGAAAACATGGAGGGGAATGTAGTTTCCTTGTGCAATTAGAGTTCATTTACTGCGCCTCTACGTCTTCTCGGACGGCCATCTGGATTTGCAGTTCAATTTCCAGACGGTCGTCTCAATTCAGAGACTGTTCTCCCATGAAAATATTCGGACGGGCGTCCGAATTCCTAGTGTATTTCTCGGACGGCCGTCTGAGCTCTAATTCTTCAGATTTTTTACTTCTTCACTTTTCGCCCATATTTTCTCCAAAATTGCAGTTTGGAACCTCTATTTATCCAATTCTTCAATTTGTACCTAAAACACAATAAATCAACACTTTAAGCACCAATGATCAATAAAATACACTAAAAGCTCCAATTAAAAGATATGATTAAGTGTAAAAATATACACTTAACACACCCCCAAACTTGAACTTTTGTTTGTCCTCAAGCAAAATCTACTCATAAGCAAATAACTCAACTACTACATCTCATTACACATATTAATGATCAACTTCAAGTTTTCAGAACTTGTAAGTATAATGAAAATTCTTAGGCATTTTCAAGCTCAAAATTCAAAAGCACTTGTCACTTTTCATTGTCAAAAACCACAAATCATGCAATTGCTTCAAGCATCCAATATTTATAAATTAAAGATAGAAAAAAATTTATGCTTACATACATATGTTTTACTCCATATACGCACCAAATTCTTCTACCCTACTAATACCGAATATTAAGCTATTGGAATCATTGGGGCTTTTTGGCTTACAATTGTTAGGCTCTTTGGTTCGAGGTAGGAAATATGAGTATATGTGGCTTCTTGAATTGAGGTGATTACACCAAATTTTGAAAAATAGTGTTTGAAACAATGAATTCACCTCTAATGACTTTAATAAACTCGATTCTCACAAGTTCAAAACTATCCACTTTTTCTCTTGAGGCAGTGGATCGAGCTTTCAAAAACAATTCAACAACTAGTCCTTCCTTCTCCCTTCTAGTCTCTTCTTCTTCTTCTTCTTTTTCTTTTTATTTTTCTCTCCTTTATGTATATATATATATATATATATATATATATATATATATATATATATATATATATATATATATATATATATTAATTTTTTTATTTTTTTTCAAAGAGGAAGAAGAAGGAATTTTATAAAATTTCCAGCCAAACTCCAATGGGTAATTTTTCAATAATCTCCATGTATTCGACCTTACACACATTGGCTAAAAGAAAGAGCACCGTTTCTCCAACGCTCAAATCAAGGTTTTAAGGATAATTTTGATAAAAAAAAGTCGGCTTGAAAGGCTCAAACGGTTCAAAGAAGGCCCAAATCATATCCCAAATCACTCACTATCCTATACTTCGTATCATAAATTTCCTAAGGTAAGCTCTAAAACCGAACATAGCATGATCTAACACGAATTAATTCCAAATTTAAATAAGTATATCTAGTTTGGCTTGATTTAGATAATGAGATTACACAAGATAAAATCATTGTAATCTTACTGGGATCAGGACTCACGAGTTCTCGTACTATCCAACTCATAGATCCTTTTATCCTTAATTAGATTATTAAATAGGGTGTTTCTACCATGAGATCCTGTGTTCTAAACTTTTATGAGATATCCCCTTCAAATTGCGACACGTGTCCCAGCGAAAAAACCTATTTTTTCTCCATTTATGTATTGTCGCAAATACCCTTTTTACAATTATTATTTTAAAAAAATCAGCAATTATAAATTATTAATGAAATGTCAATTTTACCCTCTCTATTTTAATGCAATTTTAAATATATATTTATTGCTGAATTAAAATTTATAACGTCAATTATATCATTATTCGTAAAAATCATTAAACAACCCATCCAAAATTGCATCAACCTGAATTCGAACTCGTGACCATCAGAAACACACAAGAATACTTACCATTAAGACACAACACATAATTGACAATAAACTAACAATACGGATATATATCACAAAGCTACAATTTATAATGGTTATAAAACTTATATAAATAATGTTAAATAAATTATTAATTCTCATATAATTATTATTATTATATATTAAAAATATCCCATACTAACAAATCTTTATATAATATAATTTAAAAATCTAAGGAAATGTTGTTCAACTCGTGTAATTTAAAAATGAGTTTCGAAAGAATTTGAAGTTTGAATTGAATCGTAAATTGGAAGATTTAATTAAATCGTAGTATTTGAATCAATTAAACTCATGTGTTTTCAATTCAAAAACAATATTCAAAGATTTGATCGATTAAGCTCAACTCATTTCAATTCGTAGACAATATTCAAATATTTGAATCGGTTAAACTCAATAATTTACAATAGCGTATTAATCAATCTGTGTATAGTTAAAGTTTAGTAACCTTTTTTTATTGAATTTTATCATAAAAAATAATAAAATTTAATTCGTAAAAATCGTAAGATTTAATCGGTTCATGGTTAGATTAAATCTTACGATTTACGATCTGATTCTTACGATTTTACGAATTAAATTATTATTTTGTTGTTAAAATTGAATTAAAAGGATAGTAGACTTTAATTATAAATAGTTAACTCGATTAATACGTTCTTGTCAGTGGTTGAACTTAATCGATTCAAATTTTTGAATAATATTTACAAATTAAAAGGATTTGCGCTTAATTGATTCAAATCATACGCTTTAATTAATCTTATAATTTGATTCTTGCGTAATTTAGGAATTATTTTTTTATGATAAAATTGAATTAAAAATGTATTACACTTTAATTAATAATAGTTAATTTGATTAAGACGTTCTTGTCAATAGTTGAGCGCGCTAATGAATCGATTCAAATATTTGAATAATTTTTACGAATTGAAAGGACTTGAGCTTAGTTGGTTCAAATATTACGCTTTGATAAAATATTATGATTTACGATTAGTTTCTTACATGTGTTAGGAATTAAATTTACTATTTTTATGACAAAATTGAATTAAAAATATATTAGACATTACTTATAAATAGTTAAATCAATTATGTAACATGTTATGTCAATAGTTAAGCAACCGATTAAAATATTTGAATAATGTTTACTAATTGAAAGGATTTGTACTTCATCGATTCAAATCTTACTAGTTGATTAAATTAAATATTAAAAGAAAATTCACAATATAGTATTTGTAGTATATAATTTTATTTTAAAGTAAGAAAACTACTAATTGGAATCAGTTATAATTTTTTCTTCTTATAAATAAACATATTATTTTATTTTTTATTTGGATTTGTCACACTATCGATTAAATAACATAAGTGAGTTTGAATTAAGCTATGCATTTGTTTATATTTAATTGAGCATTCTTTACATTTTTAAATGGTGGAGTTTATTAATACTTCTAATATTATATAATTAATGACAAATGTTTGACGTATTGAACTGCAATTCTTTATATTTTTCAAACTATATTTTATTAAATTTGTTAATAATTTATTTAATATAATTAAATAATAATAAATGTTGCAATTAATATTTGAATTAACAGGTGGTGGGGATCGGCGGTGGTGATTTGTGGGTGTGGTGAGTTGGAGCGGGGAAGAAGACTTTTATTTTATTTTTTTATTATTATCCTTATTTAATATAAAATGTAAAAAATACTTTTTGTTTAAGAAAATATATAAAGATTTTTAATGCTAGAATATATGTTTTAACTATTGCAAATTTGTCCTTCAATTTAAAATATTTACAATTGGGTATATTAATCAACTTAATATAAGGATATTTACGTCATTTCATGTCAAAAATCCCTTACCAGTCGCAAGCACAGCGAGTGACCAACACGAAGGTGCGCCAGGGGCGAATACGCCTTTGACTAAAATTCATAGGGGGGTATTTGCTAATTATTTTATGACAGGGGGGAATCGCGCAGTTGCGACTTTCACAGGGGTAGTCAATGCAATTTACTCTAACTCATCGATGCATTCGACTCAAGCAATTTTTTTATTTTTTTGAAACAATAAAAGCAATAAAACAAAAAAAATAAAACATCTAAAATAAAAACCCAAGGCATGCAACTAGAGCAAATAAGCACAAAAATAGTTTTTCCACCCTAAACTTAAAATGTTCGTTGCCCTCAACGAAATTAGCACAAAATTTAAGGATAGAAAACACCTCAATAGTCGGAGTCGATGCGATCGGGGTGCTCCTCCCTAGCTCTCTCACGCTCCTCATCATCGACAGCTCGGGTACAGGCTCAAGAACCGGCGCCGGTAAAGGTCTCGGCTCGACACAATCGGGCGTCCCACATCCCAAGTGGGACCGGGTTTTTGGCCGATTTTGCCACCGAGTTTGAGCCACTTTAAAGGTTTGACCGCCTCAAACTGCCTAAAACCGCCTCATAGGCAAAAAACTGATTTTTCAAACCTTTACACTAAAATCGTAAAAGATTGGGACCGCCTCCGCCTCGGAGACCGATTAATCGGCTGCCTCGGCCCATTTTTAGAACATTGATTAATATTAAGGGTAAATTCCACTTTCCCCCCTTGGCTTTGGCTCGATATAAATTTATTCACTTCTACCCCGATTGTATCGATTTGCCCTGTGTAGTTGAGAAATTGTCTCAGTGTGGTCATCGATGTTAGTTTTCAGACCTTTGACCTTAACACCGTTAAATAATTATATATAAAAAAAAAAAAAAAACAATTGTGACTGTCGAGATGGACTATGTTTTCTTGTATTGGATGCATTTGCCCTACAAATATTGGATGCATATAAGTACATCTAGTTTGGCTTGATTTAGATAATGAGATTACACAAGATAAAATCATTGTAATCTTACTGGGATCAGGACTCACGAGTTCTCGTACTATCCAACTCATACATCCTTTTATCCTTAATAATTAGATTATTAAATAACTCTATATCTCTTATCTTATAAAAGATATTTATTTCAATATCTCTTATCTTATAGAATTTAGACATGTCGTATAAAACAAGTAGTACAAAATATATCCTAGAGTTGCAAAACAATCGTGTCTCAATAGAATTATAATCCACTGCAAATACTATCTGCTATATGATTTCTCTCCTTTATAAATACCAGCGATATGCCTTCTCTTTTCACATAAGCTTTTTATTTATTTGCATTAATCCATTATTCGTCGTGTTTTGTTTAAAGAGAGAAAAACAGAGAGGGAGATGGAGCTTGATTTGACACCACAGTTGGCGAAGAAGCTGTACGGCGGAGATGGTGGCGCGTACTATGCGTGGTGCCCTAACGAGTTGCCGATGCTCCGCGAAGGCAACATCGGCGCCGGAAAGCTCGCCCTTGAGAAGAACGGCTTTGCTCTGCCTCGATACTCCGATTCTGCCAAGGTTGCTTACGTGCTTCAAGGTATATATATTCACAATTCAGATTGCCTGTTTTTTCGATTATGTACTTTTTCAGAACGAGTTTCATCTTTCTGGTGTTGATTTCTGCTTTGATCACTCTGTATTTTTTTTAATTTTTTTTTTTCAGTTTGTGTATTCCCGCGTTATTTTCTGTTTGAATAAGTTGTTTGACGAATTGAACTTATGAAATTGATATAGGTAGTGGAGTAGCCGGTATAGTCCTCCCGGAAAAAGAAGAAAAGGTGATCCCAATCAAGAAGGGAGACGCCATAGCCCTCCCCTTCGGAGTAGTCACCTGGTGGTACAACAAACAAGACACGGAGCTAGTCATTCTCTTCCTCGGCGACACCTCAAAGGCCCACAAATCCGGCTCCTTCACCGACTTCTTCTTAACCGGTCCCAACGGAATCTTCACCGGATTCTCAACGGAGTTTGTTGGCAGAGCATGGGACTTGGAAGAGAGCACCGTCAAGACACTCGTCGGCAGCCAATCAGGAAACGGGATTGTCAAGCTCGATTCCACCTTCAAGATGCCCGAGCCCAAAATCGAGCACTACAACGGAATGGCGTTGAACTGCGAGGAAGCTCCGTTGGATGTGGACATCAAGAATGGTGGCAAAGTTGTGGTTCTCAACACTAAGAATCTACCGTTGGTCGGTGAAGTTGGGCTCGGTGCAGATCTTGTTAGGTTAGACGGTAGTGCAATGTGCTCTCCAGGTTTCTCTTGTGACTCTGCTTTGCAGGTTACTTACATTGTAAGGGGAAGTGGCCGTGTCCAAGTTGTCGGTGTCGATGGGAAACGTGTGCTCGAGACGAGGCTTAAGGCTGGTGATCTATTCATTGTGCCTAGGTTCTTTGTTGTCTCCAAGATTGCTGATCCCGAGGGTATGGACTGGTTCTCCATCATCACTACTCCAAAGTAAGTTCTATTCAAATATTTTTGATTCTCTATCCTTATTTAATTTATACAAGGAGTTCCTTTTTTTTTTTTTTTTCTTTTTTCTTTTTGCTAACTTCTTAAATGTGTGTTTTGTTGTGATATTTGCAGTCCTATTTTCACTCATTTGGCTGGACGGACTTCAGTTTGGAAGGCGCTTTCGCCCGAAGTTCTACAGGCGGCTTTTAATGTTCCGGCAGATGTCGAGGAGAAATTCACCTCAAAGAGGAAGGCTGAGGAGATCTTCTTTCCACCACCAAATTAATGTAGCTTTATTTTGAATTTATTTTTGGTTTTAGTTACAGGACAAATAGTTAGAAGTACCATTAGGTTAGATTCTTTTCAGTTGATTTTTAGAGTTTACTTCGGCTTTATTTTAGGTTAATTTCTTTTCACTTGCTACTCAGTTATGCAACTTTTATATGGAATAGTACATAGTTTATAATTTTGGTTGAATGGCAAAAATGCCCATCACTTTTCGACCATATTTTGGGCGAATAGTACTCAGTTATCCGAAATCCTAGTGTATTTCTCGGACGGCCGTCTGGGATCTCATTATTCAAATTTTTGACTTTTTCACTTTTCGACCATATTTTCTTCAAAATTGCAGTTTTGACCTTCTATTTATCCAATTCTTCAATTTGTACCGAAAATACAATAAATCAACACTTTAAGCACCAATTATCAATAAAATACACCAAAATCTCCAAAAAAAAAGATTTGCTTAAGTGTAAAAAACTACACTTTTTTTTTTTGTTTTAGTTTCAGGACAAATAGTTAGAAGTACTATTAGGTTAGATTCTTTTCAGTTGATTTTTGGAGTTTACTTCGGTTATGCAATGACTTATATTAGGATTAATACATTATTTTATAATTTTTAGTAGGGTCCCATGTGATGGGCCTTTTTGCCATTTGCCCTTTCGTAAAATTTTCAATTTTTTTAGGAAATACAAAATCAATTTCAATTTCAATCCAAATTTTTCGGAATCTAAAAATTAATTCTACTTCCAGAAATTTTGAAATTTCGGAAATCTTAGTTTTAAAATTTCAAAACTTTGGAAAATTTTCCAAAAAAATCGTAATTTTGCAAAAATTAGATGATCCACTTTAATAAAAGTGTATGTTCTTTGTACAATAAGTTTTTTGTAGGTGATGTGGGATGATAGCGTAGCAAGTGAATTATACAAAATAAAAAAATTGATAGTTCCACAATAACAAAAAGATGATTAAGATAGCAACAACAAAATTGATGTCCCACAAATCTTCCTTGGGTTTCCACGTCATTCGGGCAGTCCTTTTGATTAAGAATTGTGTAAGAATTGTGTTCTCAAGATTGAAAAAGCTCCACAATACTTTGTTGTAGATTAGAAAGCTGCCAATTATTTTTAATAAAGTCATCAAAATCATGATGATGAACCCACATACTTTGAAAAAAACTTCAATGTTTCCTAGGGTGCATCTGGCTGAAGCTAGTGAGTTAATGAGTATGATCAGACTCAATTTTGGCAAGAAGCTTAATCTTTATTTTACTAGAAAGGTGTGCGTGCGTTGCACGCGTCATATTAATTTTTCTATCTATTTTAAAATATAGTTATATTGTTATTAATATTTTGTGACATTTATAATTCTTTGAACATAATATAATCCAAAATTATTTATTAATTAATAGGAAAATAGATAAATAATTTCATACCGGTTTTGCCTATGCATATCCACGACCTTGTTATTTTTTAATCTTTTCGTTTCAATTATTACATTTTTTTACTCATCATCGTCATTATCAAAATTTTGAATGATATATATTTACTTGCTTCTTAGTTATTTTTTTGACGTTTGTTTAATTGAAACTCCCTATATTTCATCTCTTTCTTCCTTATACCCAATGAATTGTGTAAATTGACACTAATTGATATTTTGAACTCGAATATTTCAGAATTGACAAAGTTCACCCATAAATTATGTATCTCATGGCAAAATGCATCCTACATAAATTCTTGTGAGATTTTAACAAAAAAATCAATACCACGATATTATAACTTTGAAAACAAAATATCATTCTTGTTTATATTTTATTTCCAACTTCATTTTTTATTTATTTATTTTGTCTGTATGAAGAATTTAAAAACATAATTGATGATTTATTTTATGTGTTTCATAGTGCTGTAAAAAATATATAATTTCAAAAACTTATTTGATTCAGTTTTAACGTACAAAATAATTATAAAAAAATCCCAATTTCAAAAACATAATATATTTTAAAAATTAAACCAAAACATGTGGAAAACAGAATAAGGCTTCAAACAAAATTGTTTTTCAGAGGCGAAAAATGGCCTCCATTAATATTTACTTCAAAATTTTGATAACCTAAATATCCATTATAATTTTAAAGGTTTGAAATCCGTACGTAGAGTTCTCAAAAAATATTTCACCTTGTTATAGATAATTCTTTTCGAATTGTTTAAATTTTTTTAAGAGTAAAAAGCAGTTTGCCCCCTAAACTAATGACTGTTTTGCACTTTGCCCTCCAAACAAATCCCATAATTTTCTCTCTACGGATTTGTTCTTTGCATTCTATGTTCTCTCTTTCTCATATTAATTACATTGTATTCTACTCCATTATTCCACAATCACCAAACTAAAGAACGAGATCAAACATGTCATTTTACAACACGTTATCATCACGAAGTGCTCGTCGTTATCGTGGAAAAACAATCGTTAGGATACTCGAAGAAGTCGAGGTGCTCGTGGAAGGTAAATATTGTTCGTCGGACAAGGTTTCTTGGAGAACATGTGATCCGAGTTTGTATGTGAAACGGTAATCTCGGAAGAAAATATAATATTCTTCGTAATATTTGTATTTAAGCGTTTCAAATAAACTTTAATATCCTTTCAATTTTGTTTTCGTAAGAGATGCATGATAGATCTTTTAATTGTATGAAATATGAAGTATATATTTATGTTGAAGTCATTACTTCGTTTATATCGTGGATTATCTGAAATAATATAGAGCCTTACGTTTAGAATGTAATTATATTTTTAATCAACAATTGAAAAAAAAATTAGAATAAAGTAAGTGATGCATACTGTAAAATATAAATAATTAAATAACAATAAAATTTTTGTTTTTGAAATATTATATTTTCTTGGAATTAATTTTGAAAATTAGAAAGATGATAAATATTAAATTTTTATTTTGATTTAAATAAAAAATAGTTAAAATAAAATTAAAGAATTAATTAATAATTTATACTTATCTTGCAGGTATAATAATAATAATAATAATAGAAATTTTTATTATTATTAATAATAATAATTTATTTTGTTCTCTCCGGTGGAGGTTGACCAACTGAATAAACAAGTCGCCAATACGATTATCATGAAATTTTCTGTTGGTCGACCTAGTTTACTAGAAATTCGTTCTCATATTTTGTCGGAGTGGAAACTTGAACATGAACCAGCCATTGGTCTGCTTGATCCACGACACATTACGATTCATATGGGTTCCATAGCTGATGCTAAACTAGCCCTCGCTCGTCACAGCAAAATGATCAAGAATTGCATGTTTCGTCTATTCCGGTGGACACCGGATTTTCAAATTGGTGAGGACAGTTGTATTGCTCCGGTTTGGGTTCGCTTTCCAAAGCTTCCGATTCAATATTTCAATATTTCATCATTGGAAAGGATTGGGGCGTGTCTCGGTACTGTACTGAGTGCTGATGATCGCACTCTTGGTTTCACACATCAAATGTACGCGAGGGTCTGCATAGAGATCGATGTGTCTCAACCATTCCCACAAGAAATATGGATCGGCATTTCAAAGGATCAAGGTTGGTGGCAGAAGGTAGAGTATGAAGGCAATATAGCGTATTGCTCTTATTGTGGATTACTGGGGCATACGGCAGGCTGTTGTCGCAAGAATATTCGTGTAACTAAACCTCAAAGTGTGCCAAAACCTAAAACAAAAACAGAGTATGGTCCGAAGAAGGTGGTGATACCGTTGGGAGAAAATAAGGAGCTTTTGGCTTCGGAAAAGGTAGTTGGGACATCTGGTGAGGCTTCGGACAAGAATAATGCTGACAAGATTTCGAACAAGTTTAATTCTCCTGTGCAGATTTTAAAACGCTCAGATATTGACCCTTCGAGATTGGCTGATATGAAGGAAGTTCTAAAGGGCACGGGTCTGGTTAGTGACGAGGAGACGGATACCCCAAAATCTATGTCGAGTTCACACGGCAACCGTTTTGCTCTTCTTTCTGTGGAGAACTTCGGTAATGAGGAACAACAAGTGGCAAAACATGTTACACAAACTCATGTTGATGCACAACAGATTTTTTCTAACGGTGAAAAATTATCTAGTCCATCTCGTCTAGAATTGGAATATCAATCGGCAGGCACTGAGGAAAATCAAATCACGGAAAACCATTCCCTGGGTACGGTAGTCAGTGTTCAAACGGCGGGACGTGTTGAGGAGATTAATGTTGTGCTTCCTAATTTGTCGACGGGTTCTCTAGCAGCTAAACGACTGGATGTGGGTTATCAATCAGATACGGGGGAGATTAAGAATAAGGGTACACTGTGTGTTTTATCTGATAATGAGAATGATAAGGTGGACAATGCGCATGCTATGCAAGTTGTCGAAAAACGAAAACCAGGTAGACCTCGAAAGGTCCAGATTACTGATCTCTCCTCTACATTACCTTAATGTCTGTGCTCTTCTGGAATATTCAAGGGATCGGGAAGCCAGAATCTTTGGCGTATTTTGCACAATGGATTCGGGAGCATAAACCAGGTGTTATAGGGATTAGTGAACCGAAGCAACTTAACGATAAAATTGGTGGTTATGCTCGTAAACTTGGGTATCCAAATTACCATGCAGGTGATAAAATTTGGATTTTTTGGTCTACGGATGTTGCAGTTAACATATTTTCAGTTACGGATCAGGCCATTACCATGATGGCTCACGGCTTGATTTCTTCTACATGGATTACCTTTGTTTACGCCAGTTGTAATAGAGATGAGCGACGTCAATTATGGGATACTATTCTTTCGCTGAGTGACGTGTGCACTGGATCATGGATTGTTGGAGGCGATTTTAATATTATTCTTCATCTTGATGAGAAAAAGGGAGGTAATGCAGCGGATCTGAGGGGTATTCAGGATTTTCGCGAGTGTATTATTCAAGCCGGTCTTTCCGACATTGGTTTTGTGGGAAATCGATATACCTGGAGTAACAATCAAAGAGGTAGTCGAAGAATATGGGAGCGGCTGGATAGGATTCTCATTAATGGTGAAGCGCATGTTTCGTTGCCTTCGATTGAGGTTCATCATCTAGCGCGGGTGGGTTCAGATCATGCTCCATTGCTGATGGTTACGGGACAACAGTTGAAACATAAGAGTCGATTTATGTTTCAACGTATGTGGCTTGATC